AGGCATCCGGCCCCCATTAAGCAAAAGCATTGCCTAAGAGAAGGGGTGAAGACACAGGGTGATGCCGCTAACAGTCAAATAAACCCCAAAGGGAAGGAAGAGGCCCCAGCGTGTATGCGGAACCCTGTGTCCACCAAGCCTGCTTACCTCCGTGTGGTTGATCTTCTCGCCATTGAACATGTTCTCCCGGGCGGCCTCCACACCCCTGGACTTGGCCTAGGAAGAAAAGACACTGAGGCCTGGTCTCACCCACATTAGCCACCACCAGTCTAAGTCCCCAAGCACAAGGCTTGGTGCTGCCCCCAGCTGACAGGTGGCTGCAGCCTGGCTCCTTCTCCCACTATCTGGGAAGAGTCTTGCTCAGACATCAGGAACTGGGGTTGTTAGGATGCTGCTTAGAACCTGAGCCAGGGACAGGTGCTCAAAGCCCTCCATTAGCACAGAGGTGGTCCAATGAGAGAAGGAATTTTTTTTTTTTTGAGACAGAGTCTTGCTTTGTTGCCCCGGCCAGAGTGAGTGCCGTGGGTCAGCCTAGCTCACAGCAACCTCAAACTCCTGGGCTCAAGCGATCCTTCTGCCTCAGCCTCCCGAGTAGCTGGGACTACAGGCATGCGCCACCATGCCCAGCTAATTTTTTGTTTCATTTTTAGTTGACTGGCTAATTTTTTCCATTTTTAGTAGAGACGGGTCTCACTCTTGCTCAGGCTGTTCTCAAATTCCTAAGCTTGAGCAATCCTCCCACCTCGGCCTCCCAGAGGTAGGATTACAGGCATGAGCCACCGCATCCAGCCCCGAGAGAAGGAATTTAAGATGCTCAAGGCCCTGAGCCAGGAGCCCAGCTCGCTGGCCACACTGTGGGTCACAGGTCAAGCCTCCAGAAGCAGAACATTACCAGGTCCACCAGCATCTTCATCACATCCTCCGTCACAAGGTTCTTGGAGTAATCCACCAGGATATGCCCATGGTTGGTGTCGAGGGTCAAGCTGCAGAAAGATGCAGAAGCTGCCGACCACACCCATGTCCGCGTAGCCTGCCCCCTGACCAGAGCAGCAGCAGCAGTGGGAGCTGCTTCTAGAAGAAACACCATCCCTGTGCCACACCCTAAAAGGGCAGCACAGCGGTGGTGTCTGTCCCACCAGGCTGAGCTGCAGCAGCACAGTTAAAGAGGCCGTTCTCAAAGAACCCAGACGCAGCAGAAATGATGCATCCTTATCTCAGATGAGGAGCTGGGGTGCAGCTGCCCCCACGAGCCCAGGGAGTGACCATCTCCTCCTAGAGCTTCCACTCTCTGCTCCAACTTACTGAGGCATCCATCCGGATGGCACGGCTGGCCAACGAAGGCTTCTGGGCCACAGACCCTCCTCCCGCCACCCCTAGCATCAGAGACCCGAGCGTGCTTGGACGCATCTCCGCCCAAGATTTCCTCCACGCTCCTTCTTCTCATTTCCTGGTGGGTCACAGGTCCGTGGCCCTAGCCTCTTCGGCGGGAACCACGCCCCAACATCTCCACCTTTCCACTGCGGCCCCCAGCAAGTCTCTGGGCCTGCCCCCACCCCCACCCCGGGCAGTCGGTCCAAGCCCGTCTGGCCAGAAGCGGGAGGAAGGGGCAGACCTCTGCGTCAGCGGAGCCTCTCCTCACAGCTGCGGGCGGAGAGCTCGCTCCAAGGGCCGGCTGCGGCGGGGGCGAGGGAGGGGACCCCCACGCAGCGGCCGCCGCTCCTCGTGACTAAGCAACCCGGCCCCGAGACCCGCGGCGAGCCGCGCGCCCCCGGAACCTGCCCCAAGGAGACTTCAAGGACGAAGTGCGGCCTCGGCCTGGGCCCCCGTCAGTGGCCCCGGCTCCCCGGAACCGCCGCCCTGGGACCCCGGCCCAGCCTCCGGGCCTCGCGGCCTCCCAGCCGCCCGGCCTCCCGGCCCCGCGGGCCCGGCCCCGCCCGCACGGCGCGCCCCCGCCGCCCGCCGCGCGCACCTGAAGCGCTGGAAGCGCTCCCTGTTGGCCTCAAACAGGCCGCGCAGGTTGATGTCGGGGCCGCGCTCGCGGTACCACTGCTGCAGCTTCTGGAACTGCGCGTCCCGGGAGAACGCGGTGGCCATGGCGGGACTGCAACGGCGGAGCGGCCGCGGAGAGCGCGGGGCAGGAAGGAGGAGCGGGCGCGGGCGCCCGCGGAGGCGCGCGGCGGCCTTTATGGCGCAGGCCCCGGCCCCGCCTCTTCCCACGCCACGCCCCTTCCCGCGCGCCCCGCCCCGCCACAGCCACGCCACGCCCCTCGCCACGCCCCTCGCTGCCCAGTGCCCGCTGGGCGACCTTGCCCGCGGCCCCTGCTCTGGGGCCTCGGCTTGTCAGTCAGGGCGGCCTGAGGGGCCGGGCCGAGCTCCCCCGCGCCCTGGTCCGCTTCAGTCATTCATTCATTCAACAAAGCTCCATCCACACCTTCCGTGTTCACCGGTAGCGTTCCAGGGGCTGTGGACACTAAGTGCCAAATATCAAGTAAAATTTATGATACCTCACATGCTGGTAGTGCCACCGAGGAAGAGCAAGCAGAAAAGGATGCTGACAGTAAGGGTTGCAATTTTACAAACAATGGTCAAAAAAAAAAAAAAAAACACCTCACTGGCGAAGTGACATCTGAGCAAAAGCCTGACCGTGAGGGAGAGAGCCAACTGGCCATCTGAGAGGAGGAAAAGTGTTCGGGCACAGGGAACAGCAGCTGCAAAGTGCCTGCGACAACAGCATACTCAGAATGTTCCAGAAACAGAAGGAGGCAAGTGTGGCTGGGGTGGAGTGGATGAGGGGAAAAAGAAAGAAGATGAGGTCAGAGAGGGAAGGGAAGGCAACAGGATCACATAGGACCTGGTAAGTCGTCGTAAGAACCTTGGTGTTTGTTCTGAGAGAGATGGGAAGCCACTGAAGGGCTCTAAGCAGAAAACGGACATTATGTCACATGTCACATGTTCTACAGAGGATCAGACTGACACGGCAGGAATAGAAGGAAGGACATCAGAAAGGCAGCTACTGCAATAACGCAGGCCAGGGAGGTCGAGGTAGGGGGAGTGCAAGGGGACATGGTAGTAGTCCAAATATATTACGATGAGTGAAGAATTGACACTTTCCTGGTGAGAGAAAGGTCAGGATGACATCTAACATTTGACCTGAGTTCCTAGAAAAATGGAATTGTCATCAACTGAAGTGAGGAAGACTAGGAAAGGTGCAAGTTTTGGGGGAAAGACCATGATCTGCTTTGTAAACATGCTAAGTTTTCAAATCCTGTTGGACATCTAAGTGGAGGTGTTGACTGGGTATTCATGTCTGGAGTACAGGGGAAGAGAAGGTCCGAGCTGCAGGAGAAACTTGGGAGTATCAGTGAACAGATGGCATTGGAAGTCATGAGCCTGGATGAGGGGTTACAAATGCAATCAGAGACAACAAGTCCAGCTCTTATATTGAGCTTCTCCATCACACGGTTCCCCAGAAAGGCCAGCCAACCACGGAGTGTGTCCTGTCCCCCCGCAGGCCCAGGTCTAGGTCTTCCTCCCACCTACCTCCCAACTCCATGCAGTCGCTGCCACCTCTGGCCTCCACAAATGGCTTTCTCCTCTCCCTGTCCAGGATGATTTGGGGTCCTAAAGATGAAAAAGGAAACTAGGAAGGGACTGGAAACTGAAGAAACGAGAAGTCGCAGTATTTTCCAGAGAATAGTCCTGTCCACAAGGCCCTTCTCTAAGAACCGGCAACTCTTAAGATTTAACGGAGCTTCCACCGAAGGGCGTGGTGGCCTGTACCCGTAGTCCCCGCCTCTCGGGAGGCTGATCCAGGAGGATTGCTTAAGCCCCGGAGTTCGAGGTTTCAGTGAGCTGTGGTATTGCCAGTGTACTCCAGCCTGGGTGACAGAGCAAGACCCTGTCTCTAAAACCAAAACAACATGACTGAGCTTCCACACCCAGCACTGCCCTGACATTGCAGAGCAGTATCTGCTGTACTGGAGTTCTGAGAAAGACTCCAGCCAGAGTTTCCCATCCAAGCCGTTTACTTATCTGCACAGAATAGCGCTGGCACCCAAAATCCTGTGTTTCAGAACAGAACCTCACCCAGGAGGAAAGCCAGTCTCAGTAGCTACTGACTCCATTTTTCTAGTAGGTTATTTTGGGTGACTGTGGTGGATAACTGTTGTCTTTGTCCTAAACCATGACCTCCTGCCCTGTGTTTCTTCCAGGGCCTGACTGCTTTGGTGATGAGCACATGACCTAAGCCAGCCAGATAGGGTCCTTTCCTAGGACCCTACACCCAGCAGGAGAGAGTCTCTGCCTTTTGTGGCATTAAGCAAGCGGCATGTCTGAATCTACAGGCCTGATGAGGTTCAGTCCCTGTGGTCTCAAGGAAGACAATGGAGAGAATGACCCCTAGAGAGATAACAAGAGTGAACCTCACAGTGTCCAGATTCCTGGGGCCAGGCTACCCCTGCTTGCTGCTGGAATGGAAATCAATGCTTCCCCCTAGTGTTTACGTTGTCACTTACAACTCCAAGTCTTTCCAAGGATTTTATGGGTGTTCACCTGCCCACAGCCACACTGCCTTCTGCAAAGTCCTCTCCCAGCCACCTAAACCCCACAGGAGCAGCTCTGGGTATTAGAGAAGAGGCAGGAGGTAAAGTTTTTTCAATTCTATTCTAAGCAAAGAGATGTGCTTTTTAAAAAAATGTTTTATTTGAGACAGAGTCTCTCTCTGTTGCCTGGGCTAGAGTGCAATGCCATCATAACAGCTCACTGCAACCTCAATCTCCTGGGCTCAAGCGATCCTCCTGCCTCAGCCTCTCGAGTAGCTGGGACCACAGGCGCTGGGACAACAGGCGCGCACCACCACGCCTGGCTAATTTTTCTATTTTATTTTATTATTATTTTTTTTAACCTTCCTCTTCTACTGGAAGAATTTTTCTATTTTTAAAGACGAGGTCTCGCTCTTGCTCAGGCTGGTCTCGAACTCCTGAGCTCAAACGATCCTCCCGCCTCCCGGTTCTCAGAGTGCTAGAATGACAGGCGTGAACCATCGCGCCCCGCCACGCCAACAGACTTTCCAGAACTGTTACGGGGAGGCGCGCCCAGCGGGGACGCTGAGTCACGGTGACCCGGCGAAGGTGAGAAGACCGCGCGTCCCGGGCTCGGTGCAGCTCCAAGCGCGGGCGCCCTCCGGAGGGCTCGTGCACACGCGTGCACACGCGGGAAAGGCAAGGCCGAGCGCAGGCACTCCTGGGGGAAGGGTGCGCACGCATCTGCGTGTGGGTTAGCACGTCCGGGATGGGCGGCGGCGCGCGTGTGCGCATGTCCCCGTGCAGGCTCTGGAGCTGGGTTGCGGGGAGGGAAACGTGCAAACCCCTGTGTCCGCACGTCTCGGATGGAGGTGGCGCGCGCATGTGCGCATGCGCTGCATTGGTGGGGGCGGACTGCGCATGCGCAGGCTAGGAGCGCTGCGTGGTTTAGGGGAAGCTACTTTCCACACCCGGGGAGGCTAGGAGCTTGTCCCTTGTCGCGTCGTAACTTGATCTCCAGATTTTCCCTGTGAACCCATGGCTCGGTCTTTAAAAAAAATGTCTCCCACCATATATAGGTGTGGTTTCCATGAGAACAGGAAGCTATGTTTTTATTAAAGGTCTACATAGTCCTGTCCATAGCGCCTAATGTTAATCCCGGTACAAACTCTGGTGATTATGTATTTTTCTTTTAGTCTAATGTGAGAGCCTTTTTTGTCCTGTTCTATTTTTTTTTTTGTTGTTTTTGAGACAAAGTCTCGCTTTGTTGCCCAGGCTAGAGTGAGTGCCCTGGCGTCAGCCTAGCTCACAGCAACCTCAAACTCCTGGGCTCAAGCGATCCTGCTGCCTCAGCCTCCCGAGTAGCTGGGACTACAGGCATGCGCCACCACGCCGGCTAATTTTGTCTATATACTTTTAGTTGGCCAATTAATTTGTTTCTATTTATAGTAGAGACAGGGTCTTGCTCTTGCTCAGGCTGGTTTGGAACTCCTAACCTTGAGCAATCCGCCCGCCTCAACCTCCCAGAGTGCTAGGATTACAGGCGTGAGCCACGGCGCCCGGCCTATTTTTTTTGTTTTTTAAGAGACATGTCGCTGTGTCACCCAGACCAGAGTGCAATGGCACAATCATAAATCGCCGTAGCCTCTTAACTCCTTGGCTCAAGCGATCCTTCTGTTTCAGCCTCCAGAGTTGCTGTGACTACCAGTAGCTAGGACTACCACGCATGCGACTGCACCTGGCTAATTTTATCTTTTGTAGAGGGGGTCTGTCTAGCTAAATTGCCCAAGCCAACTCCAACTCCTGGCCTTATGCAATCCTGATCCTCCCGTCTTGGCCTCCCAAAATGTTGGAATTACAGATGTGAGATGCCCAGTTTCTAGTTCTATTTTTGCTCTGTATTAGAAAGTTCGGGCCCCAAAACACCTCCTGTCATCTGTCTCAATTTGCTTTGTGGTGGTCCCAGGCGCTGCCTTGCACCTTGGGGACATGTGACCATGATCAAGACTTGTTCCTTGCTCCCAGGGGACCTTGGTTATAGTGAGGGACAAATGCAAACACACAAGATCCCAGGGGAGTGCTAGGTACTATAATGTGAAACAAAGCCAAGTTGGAGTATGGGCTCTGGCCCTAGAGCAGCCTCAGGTTGGAGGGCACAGGGAAGGCCACATGGAAGTGTGGGGTCTGTGCATGGGAAACTCTTAGGCTGTAGAGGGAAAGGCAGGAGCCTCAGGTGGATGGCAGAGATGTAAGAATATAGTGGCATTTGAGTGTGCGTGGAAATATAGGACTTGAATCAGGAGAGTGAAGGAAAGAAGAACCAAGAGTATCTTACAGGACAGCAGACAGAGCAACTGGGTGGATAGATGGTTGCATTCTTACCAAAGATGGGGGTGTCTCCCTTAAAAGACAGAATTTCAAGGGCAGGGACTGCATCATCTTCGCACTCCTGGCTCTTAGCAAGGGCCTGGCCTCTAGGTGACGTTAGTAAATGTTGAAATGAGGTGACACACCTGAAACAATTCTTCTCCCCCACCTAGGCCTACATACCCAACTCAGCCTCCCAACACAACCCACATCCAGTCCCCTCACAGAGATGCAGAGGCCTGGGCCCGGCCAGACTACCCCTGCAATATAAGGCTCGGTGTATGTGTTCCTTTCAGGAGCCCGCCCTGGAGGTTACATATCGCTAGGAGGCAGCCAGCCATGCTGTCCACGTATGTGGCTATTTAGCAGCTGAGGAGCTGACCGCTGGGAAAGGTTTATTTCCTTTGTCTCCAGATCAGGATGGTCACAGCAGTGGCCACACAATGCGCAGAAGGCCACCAGCGCATGGTTGGCATGCAGCATTTCAGCTACACCCCGTCTCCATGCTGGCAGCCCCACTCTCAAGGAGTCCTCAGGTAGGAAAGTCAAGTCTCAAGCCTGCCGACTGCCTGTGTGTCCTCCATTTGTCAGATGGGGCCTAGGCCTCCAAGGACCCTCTAGGAGCACAAATCTAACATCTGTTCTGCTTCCACCCCACCCATCCGGTTTCACAGCCAGGGAGACAGGACTCCACTTCTGTCTGCACCACTGCTGTGAATCAAAGCCAGGGACGAGCACTGGGTGCTTGTGTTAAATGGGAACACACTTGAATAAAATACGTACTGTTTCCTGCTAGCATCTTAATATAAACTTGCAGTGTATTCCTTAGCACATTCATGCAACATGGCTGTTACTAAGCAACCTTGTCCTGAGGTACATTTGGAAGGTTCTGGAACTTGGTCCCCATGCTCACCCTCAAGGCATCTCAGCAGAAAGAAGCTGTAAGTAGTACTTATACTCTCAGGCTATATATTAATGCTCACATGACTCCATTTTCCTAAGTTCATGAAAAAAAGTTCCAATGAAGTGCTTTCTTTCTGTCAATGAGTTGAAATTCCCGTGTAACCCACCCTCCCTTTGTGGTTCTCATGATATGGTCCTCCTCCTGCTAAGCAGGCTGGCATCATCCAGTGAGACAGGTCCTTCTTATGCCTGTGAGGCAGGGTCTCTCTGCCAGATTGGGTCCCTGGTGTGGGGAGAGGGTTAAACAAGTTCTCATTCCTGGGTCTGCTTCTTGGACAGGCTGGCTGGGCAGGCCACAGCACCCAGGGTTGGTGGGTGTGGGTGTTGGCAGACCCCAACCCAAAGAGAGAGCTTGCATCCTTCCAGGAGACAGTCCCTTTTCCACTGTATTGGCTCCACTTGTGCAGAGGCTGACACCATCTGTGTCCTTCGGGAAGCCAAGAGGGCAGGTGTGGCTGGTGGCTCTGCTTCCTGCCCATTCCATTCCATTCCATTCTAGCTCACCTTAATATTCCAAGTGACCTTCCCCCTTGCTCAGTCTCAGAATCAGGGAACAAGCTGACCTAAAAACCAACTCGTGCAGCTTTTCAAAGTAATGGGTCAGGACACTCTGACACAGTGTCTGCTGCAGTTCATTTTAAACAAAGATACAAAGTATTATTAAATGTATATTTTTAATAAAGCCAATAGTTATTTTACTTATAGGAGCTTTAAAAGATACAAAATGTAGAGTTCCAGTTTGGAAGCATTGTAACTATTCACACGATGTCCTGCTGATGCCCGAGCAAGGCAGCCACGCCCGGCCATGCGAAGGACACACATATTCACACACGCACACACATGCGCTTTGGCGAGACCCCTCTGCCGAGCGCAGCACCTGGAATTACCAGTGTTCAGAGCAAGGTGGTGCTGGGAACGCAGCACCTACATAGAGACCACACAGACAGCTTCACACAGTCTCACTGCCATGGAGATGCAATTAAAAAATGTCTTCCTTAATAGAGAAGAACAAACTGGAAAGTGACAATTAACAATGTCAACTGCGCTGGGGGCATCAAGGACCGACCTCTGTCCAAGGTGAGGTCTTTGGGGAGGCACTATTAAAACAAGAGTACGTCAGTATAATAGAACTCGAAATACAGGGTACTGTGGACACGTTACCGAAGGAAATAGAAAACTATCTTACAAGGAAAACAGCCACAAACAACTTTAACAGAGATTAGTGTGCACACTGTGACAGCTAACACAGACGAGAGCCACACGGGGTTGGTGCAAAGCACGTGCCTGAAAAGGTCTATATACAAAATAGTTCTCTGTAAACATGGTGAGGTGAATGTCAGAACCACGGTGAAGATCATAAATACAGGCAGCAATGGCATCCCCACACAGCACAAAAGACAACACCCAAGGCCTGGAAACAGCCCGACGACACAGTACTAAAAATTCAGGTGGCTGGGCTCAGACACCCTCAGGGTCCTCTATAATTAGTGTGTATGTGTGTGTGTGCGCGTGTGTGTGTACATACATATATATATTTATTCTTTTTGGTATTTTTAAATATAAATTTACTTATATCTGTAGAAAAATGAGAACATAAATGTGTTATTACAATCTTTGCTGGAAAAGCTTATATGGAGCTAGAAAGAATAAACCATTTATTAGTAGTTAACATATATTAAAATGGTTTAATGACTTAAGAAAATATAAAAAAAAATATTAATACTGTCAAACTTTCATACCAGAAAATATTATGGATTTTTCTCAATTAGAATTTTTCAAAGATGAAATATGAAAAATTTAAATAAGTTTTATATAAAGAACTTTCTGTAACCTCAATTAATATACAGTGGGATATGTCTACTCTATATAGAGATATTTATTATTATTTCTCAATTTAAGCACCATTCAATTCTTCTGGATCCATTCTGGCTGGAAAATACTCCTAAATCCACAGGATGTTATCTATTTTAATGGCACATGTTAACTGAAAATGAGGTGGATTGTTTTTTTTTTTAAGAAAAGACTTTAAATTAATTTCTATCTACATCTTAATTGGTTTGTCTTCTGAGCCAGCTCACAATGTTACTGCAGTTTCGAGTGCAGGCATCTCTGTGCAGCCCCTGACCACACTTTATGCTCTGAGGACGTAGCCTGCGCTCTATCCTGCGCAGACGGCAGCAGCTGGCTCACCTCCACGCGCCTGCGGCAGTACGCCTCCGACATTAGTTTTACAATCCTGCTGTTGCGAATCTGGTAAAGGCTGCACTCCCCCGGGTGCTGCTGGGGCAGCAAGGGGCTGCCCACCCACAGTAAACCCCGGTGGCTGCTTCTGCTCACAAATACTCTACACTCTGCCCATTTTATATAAGCTTAAATAAAGATAGTGTTGAACAAACCTCCAGCCAGTATATCTGTTACCTTAAAATATTCAATGCGTGTTAGGCAGGAGATGTTTTAACTAAAAACCTACGTGAAAAAATAGCTATAAAATACAGTGATTGGTGTGGTCATCACTCAAGGTGTGAAGGGAGGAGGAGGAGGTGAGGGTTTCAGAAGAATGGTCAGTTTTGCTCTAAGCCTTCAGGCCTGATGCCTTCCCAACACACAGCAGGACTAAAAACCCACGAGCTGTGTTTCTCAAAGTGTGGCCGCTGGCTGCCTGCATCAGAACCCTGTGAGGTGCTTACTAAGCATGCAGACTCCCCAGCATCCTGAGGGAGAAACCTCTGTCTACAGCTGGCTCTCCAGGGGTCTGATGCCTCCAAATTTGGAACCCAGGCTTCAAAGGCTTGGAGCTGCCAACCACCCTGTCCCCAAGGAATTCTCCCTGGGACAGGGGTACACTGGTCCTCTAGGGGGCTGGTGTCAGCTAGTTGGCCCTAGGGCGGGGACACTCACCCCAGCAGCTCTGGGCACGCAAGCAGGCTGGCCCTGGATCAGTACTGGGGCAGGTAAGCTGGCCTGCGCTCGGCCTTCCCGGGGAAAGCCTTGAAGCCCTTGGGCACTGCCTTGTGCGCCGGTGGGGGTGGGGGCTGTGGTGGGGGCTGCACGTAGGAGAAGGAGGCGGCACTGCACTCGCTGGCCGCAGCCCACACTGGAGACTGCAGCATCTGCATGGTGTCGTTCCACTGGCTGCCGGGGCTGGCGACGGCATAGAGTGGCGTGCTTGGGCTGGGCAGTGTGCTGGGCATCGGGGACGGGTGTTGCCAGGGTGCTTTGGGTGGCCACGTTTTGGTTTTGTTATCCTGAGAAACAGAAAAGAGTCCTTAGTGGCATTCCTGGTGATATATCTTTTCCCACCTCCCCAGACCTCTGGCCCTTAGTCCCACCTAGAAGACAAGGCGAGAGCATCACCCCCCCCCAGGCCTGTCCGACAGACTTCCTGCAGTGACATCAATGTTCTCTGCCTGCACTGTCCAATACTAAAGTTTTATTTGTATTTCATTTAAATTTATTTAGCCACAGGTGGTAAATGGCTATCATAGTGGACAGCACAGCCCTCGAGCTTCCTCCACATGTGGTTCTGAGTCAGCTGAGCTAGCTAGTCATTTAGAAAAAAATCATGAGAAAAACAAGTTATTCACCACAAAGTGGACCCCTCATTACTCCGAGGCCCCCTTAAAGCTGGAGCTGTGGAAACTGGCCCGTGGTCTGCGCCCACAAGCCAGCCTGCAGTACCTGGTTCACGTCCTCTATCGTAGTAAGGAGAGGCGGCGAGGGCAGCGTACCAGTCTCCTGCTCTCCGCTGCTGTGTTTCCTGAAAGAACCGAGGGCTCAGAGCAGTGACCACCCAGCTTCCTGCCCAGCCCACCTGCAGGGGACACCCTCGCTGCTTGGCTCTGGTGTCTCTGGGCCCTGGTTCTAGGCGGGGAGACCCTGGGTCCAGGGGAGTCGGCATTGAACGGTGCACTCCCAAAAAGCCAGCACAGGCAGGTGTGGCAGGGGTGGGCGGCACGCATAAAGACAGACTTTTCTCAGTTGCTCTGAGTCCACCACCCTTAGCCTTCTGTTAATTTATTCAACAAACACTGGCTGTTCAGCATGTACTGGCAATATGTGACTTAAAAACAAAAGCCCAGGCCAGCTGCGGTGGCTCACACCTGTAATCCTAGCACTCTGGGAGGCTGAGGCAGGAGGATCACTTGAGGTCAGGAGTTTGAGACCAGCCTGAGTGAAAACAAGATGTTGTCTCCACTAAAAACAGAAAAAATTACCCGGCCAACTGAAAATAGAAAAAATTAGCCAGGTGTGGTGGCAAGTGTCTGTAGTCTCAGTTACTCAGGAGGCTGAGGAAAAAGTATCACTTAAGCCTAGGAGTTTGAGGTTGCTGTGAGCTAGAAGCTGATGCCACGGCACTCTAGCCCAAGTGACAGAGTGAGACTCTAAAAAAAAAAAAAAAAAAAAAAAAAAAAGAAAAGAAAAGAAAAGAAAAAAGGGAAAACAACCCCAGAAGCCCATTAGTTTTACTACTATAACAACATGAACATTGAATAAAAAAGGCAGGGTGTAGCGGGATCAGAGCCAGCATTCCTGTGGGCAGATGGCGGTCTCTGCGCAAGTGGGGCTAGAGACGACTTCTCAGATGTCTAATCAACCGCGTGTCTAAACCAGAAGTCTTAAACTCTATCCCGACTCAAACGTGCTCCTCCTGCGGTCCCCCATCTCAGTTCCCAGCACCCCTACACCCAGCAGCTCAGGCCGAACACCTGCGTGTCATCCTCTCGCACCTCCCCCCCACACCACTCTTCGGCCAGTCGCTCCTCACTGTGCTCAGCTCTCTGCTCATCGGGCGCCTCCTTGGCTACCCTTCTGAAACCAGAAAATCCACCTGTTCCCTACGTTTTCCTCCCTCACACCTTACTGTATTTTTTGTCATAGCACCCAACCCAACCTATTTAATGTTTGTTTTTGTTTTTAATCTGCCTTCTCTCACTAGAATATGAATTCCAAGAAGGAGACTTTGTTTTGTTTGTGCCTATACCACCAACGCCTGGTACATGACAGGTGCTACTCAATGAAAGAATGAATGAATTTAACTTCTCTGAGCCTCAGTTTCCTCACCTATTAATTGGGGATAAAGTAGGACTTACAAGGTGGTTGTTATGGGTTGAATAGTGTACTCCCCAAAATTCATATGTTGAAGTCCTAACCCTCTGTACTCCAGAATGTGACTGTATTTGAAGACTGGGCCTTTAAAGAGGAAACTAAGTTAAAATGAGGTCCTTAGGCAAGGCCCTAATCCAGTATGATTTATAAGAACACTAGGATGCAGCGATGCTGAGGGAAGGCCATGTTCAGACACAGGGAGAAATGGCCATGACAAGTCAAGGAGACAGACCTCAGAAGAAACCAACCCTGCCAACATCTTGATCTTACACTTTTAGCTTCCATAACTGTGAGAAAATAAATACCTACTGTTTAAGCCACCCAGTCTGTGTAATCTGTTATGCAGATGTAGCAAGTAAATAGAGTGGTTGTGAGAATTAAGTGGAAAAAATGTATGTAAAGTGCCTAGGCCAGGGCCTGGCCTACAGAGAGCACCCTAACTCGGGCCAGTGGCCAATCGCAGTCATCACTCCTTTATTACTCTGTGTACCTCAACTCAGGGACCCTTCCATCTATATGCACCTGCGCCCCACTGCCCATCCAGTGAAGACTGACCCTGGCACACGCAGCTGTGCACTGCGCTTCCCTTCCCACTCCACGGCATGACTTCTGCTGCCTGGGGAGCCCGGTGTGCTCTCCATGCCTGCCTGTGTCCCTTACTCTGCCACCTCTGGACTTGGCTTCCTCACATTCACAGCAGTCTGTCTGCTTCTTTCTAGCCAAACTCTTCTCTTAGTTCAGAGCTCATTTTAACTTTTGTGACTACTTTTGAAACCTTCTTAGATCTGAATATGCTATATTACTCCTTTTTTCAACTTCAGAATACCATTCAGAGGTCATTTTATCCAGTACCACCTATGACAAAAAATCTGAGGGTCAGAGAGGGCCAGGCTCTAGTCTGGGGTTCCAGAGCCTACTGGTGAGTCCAAGTGAGAACTTGGTTGTCCTGGCCCTGCTCCTCCCAAGAAAGGGCTGCCTCCTGCAAGGCACAGGCCAGCACCGGCAGACCCTGTCTCCTGAACCCTCCCTCACCCATCATGCTGGTGTTTTGGGCTACGGTAAGGCTGTTCTGCCAGCAAAAACTCAATCCAATGTTGAGTCATCTGGGCTGCAAGCCTTCGTGGTGGCCCCACAGAGGCCTCAGAAAATGAGGCCAGCTCTTCCTCGTGGACAACCCTTCGGCCAGGTAGTACGGAAGAGCCCCTCTTACCTCTAGGACACGAGGCAGACTGGGAGCGACTGGGTTCCTGACTTTCCCAGAGGAGTAAACAATAGGTCACATTCACACTCCCTTCTGTCCTCCCCTTGGTTTAGAAATCTCTTCTTACCTTCTCTGCTTGACAGCAGCAACGAGATCAGGCCCTGAAAACATGGAGAACAAGCTGTCTCCATTGGCCGAGGACGTCTCATCGCTCGAGCTGGCGGAGTCTCCCTGAGCACCTGACCAGCCGCCGTGCAGGCCATCCCTGAAAGGCAAAGAGAGAAGCTGGTCCAGGGCCTCCCACAGCCAGCCTGGCCACTGGCTGGACAGACGCGAGGCCAGCCCCAACCCTCCACCCCAGCCCTGAAAGAGCAGTCCTTACCTTGTCCTCATCTCATACCCAAACAGTGGTCTGTCTCTCCCTTCTAAAAACTTAAGGTTTTCTTCCTTTCCCTTATTTCAAAAGCAATACATATTCATCACTTCCCTTTATTCCTCTAAGAAGCCTGTAGTTTGTATATAAAATTTACTTTAGAGAAAACAAAAAGTTGAGATGGTCTTTAAGTTATCCAGATTTATTAACCAGGTAGCAATATAAGATGTGAAAAATTCCCAGTTTTGTTTATGATAAAAATCCATAATTCTCCCAATATACTGGAATCTGAACCATAAACCTTTGCTTTTTGTAGGGTGCCCTGATAGCATCCCATAAATCACATGGGTTTCACAGCCACACTCATTTCAATATAAAGACTATGTTAAACGTACAATTACTTTACAAACACCATCAAATAATATCCTTGTCTAGCGCTGAAGAATCTGTCTTGGAAATTACGAATTTATACCAATGGTGTGTCCACAGGGACACATCACGCCACCTGGCATCTTACAGTCAGTCACAGAACTCTGATCCCCTGCAGACTTACGTGTCACTCTCTCACGTGGGGGCTTGAAACTGAACTGCCTAACAAGAATGCACAAACGCCAAGGAGCCTCTCAGCTCGTAAGGCCCCATGGGGGACACCCAAGTCCCACTCTCGGCCTCCCTGCTGGACCCCAGCACTCACCCTTCTGTAAAGAACTCCGGGAAAGGCCAGGTCCGGTGGGCGTCGTCCATGGGTGGCCAGTTGCCCCGGGGGTTGCCTGGACGGCGACCGGTTTGGGTCTGCCGCTTCTGCTGCATTGCCTGGCTCACTCCTGCCACGTAGCGTGCGAACTCCGGGTCTGAACCCACTGCGTTGAGACAAAGGAACAAACAGGGTTTGGGGCCAAACTGGCCTCTTGGTTCCTTCCCTACCTGCCGAGAAAGTGCTGGTCACACATAGAGTGGAAGTGGGAAGGAGCGGCCAGGCCTGCAGCCCACAGAGGTGGTGCAGGCTTTGCCCAGCACCCTGCTACAGTGAGATAGGGCTTTCAGCAGCACAGCGGTCTGAAGCTGGGGCGTGGTATGTGCTCCTGACAGGGCTGTCAGGAAACGTTATGCCCAGGACAGAGGCAGGCTGAGTATGAAAGACAGAAAAATGATTTGATTTATCCATGACCAGATTTTAAAGACAAATGCTAGTTACTTTAAAATTATCCAGTGTCTTGGTGCTATGCACCTAGAGTTATTAGGTAACAACTCAGAAGATCAGATGATGACTTTGGCTAACTGACAACTGAAAGCTATCAAAGCATCAGCACCAGCTGGATAGCAGATATATACTGTTCCTACTTGAGCCAAGCTGCTTTTTTTTTTTTTAATTGAGACTGAGTCTCGTTCTATCACCCTGGTTAGAGTGCAGCAGCATGACCATAGCTCACTGCAACCTCAAACTCTTGGGCTCAAATGATCCTCCTGCCTCTCAGAGTTTTAGGATTATAAGCATGAGCCATCATGCCCAGCCCTGAGCCAAGCTTTGATCGAGTATTTTCCTTGATATTGGACAGGAGACTTGCTCATTCTGTCTGAAGATAATAAGACCAGCAAAGAATGAGATGAGATTTCAGAATGCTTTAAGAGGTGGCTGGACATATACTGGACAGAGCTGAGTAAGGATGTGCAGGGCAGTACAAGGGGGAGAAAAGGAGCACAGGTGGCATTTAGAGAAAATGTCAAACAAAAAGATATGGGAGGAAAGCATCTATGGATCACCAATCAAATAGGACTCAGTAGTGCCTACTTTTTAGCTTCAAATTGGGAAGGATACTAGGGCGCAATCCCATTATCATCTTGTTCTTAGGGCACTGTCACAGGACCATGGCTATGTCCTTTGTGCACTGCACAAAGATGCCCAGACCAGGGGAGAGCACATGGGCTGAAGTCAAGGCCTTGATACCAGTTAGTCAGGCCACGCCCCCAGTTTGCCTGCTCAGAGGGGGCACTAGAGGGCGCCTTCGCTAATTCACCTGCCCAGAGGAGCACAAAGGACTGTGCAGGTCTTGTGCTCTTGTGAGGGGCGGGGGGCAGGAGTCTATATTAGGCTACATCAAGGACTTGGGGGTCAGAAAAACGATTTGTAGGCTAAAGACATAAGAGTTGTCAGGGTCTCGACAGAGGTCAAGTATGGTGAAATTCTGCCAAACACTGTTTATACTCTGGATTTAGTAACATGATTATCCAAAAATGTACACACCATTTATCACCAATTGAGAAAACGTGCCATGCCTCCCCCAGTTGGTGGCAGCCAGGGGGGCTTGCTCTTTCGTAGCAGGGCAGAACTGTTTACCCTTCTTGTGGCCCAGGGGTCCAGGTACAAGGTTTTCTACACCCACCCACCCAAGGTGAGCAAGAACTGGAAAGTAGGAGCAGCAGCATGAGGAATTTTTAGAAGACATAATTTTTAGAAGACACATCCTTCCTTTAAAAGTTAATGCTGGGGTGTTTTAGCAAGGAATTTCCTCTTCTGGTGGGATTAGCTTATAAAAATATTTGTTATACTTATTTACAATATTTCACCGTATTCTCCCATAAATGGAATATATTTTCGACTTCTGCATGCCTTCTGCTAAATTAGATAAAAGAGTTTGCATCTACCTACCTTATCAGATTCTCTTACTAATTCTGGAAGTTTTTTAGGGGAAGTTTTTTCAATTCTATTATAAGCAAAGAGATGAGCCTTTTTTTTTTTTTTTTGAGACAGAGTCTCACTCTGTTGCCCAGGCTAGAGTGCCATGGTGTCAGCCTAGTTCACAGCAACCTCAAACTCCTGACCTCAAACGATCCTCCTGCCTCAGCCTCCCAAATTGCTAGGATTATAGACATGAGCCACCATGCACTCTCTTAAATTGCTTTTAATTCCTATATTTGTAGTTATTTCTCCTATTTCCTAATTTGCTTTCTCTTAATCATGCTCATAATAAACTGATTTATCTATATCACTGGTCTTTCAAAGATCTTCCTTTTAGACTATTAATTTCTACTGTATTTTTCTTTTTAATTTATTTAACTTGGGCTTTTTCCCCTAATTCCTCTTCCTAGTTTATTGTTTTGTTTCTAAATTCTTTCTCTGATTTCTTAAGATGACCCTGGTGGTATCTTGACATTGTCTAAGCCAGGAGAAGGTATATTTCATGAGGCAGGAGGGTCTCTACCACCTTTCACAGGTCCTACAGTTTAGGCAAAAATAAAAATAAATAAATAAAAGAATCAAGAGAACAGATTATTTCGTCAGGGAAAAAGTGCCCCACAGCTCCCAAGAATAGGAGGGCCCAGAGGGGAGCCCACTTGAACTATGGGACGTTGAGCCATTCCGGAACTTCTGTTCTCTAAAACATGGGAAAAACAGTAGCACTTACATTCTCAGGCTCTTTCTCCTCACTGCTTCCCACTCTTGCTAGACCTGCCCACATTTGTCTCACAGTGCGAAAGGGTCTTAAAGAGGGGTTAGTTATTTAACCTTCTCAGGTAAGACTGTGGCAGACAGGCCCTACAAAGTCCTGAGCAATTATAATTCGTGGTGAAGTGGTTAAAGGGGCGAGGAGGCCTCACATACCTGCAGGATCAAAAGGCAGGATCTCTCCCAACATTCCAAAGACTCCGTCGCTTTGGTCACGGTTTGGCCAGGTATTATTTCTAGGTCCCTGCGGCTTCTGTCCCAAAACCTCCGACATCACGTTGTCCATATAGCTGCTCACCAGACCCAAGCTGTACAAGTCAGAACTGAGATCGGATATGCCAGGCCACTGACCAAGATGAGACAGACCTGCCCCAACGGTCTGTGCCGGCTGCTGGGATGAGCCATGTCCCCACTTCCCGGGTGCCCGAGGCTGGGGTGGGGGCTGCTGCGATCCAATGGGTTGGAGTAGGTGTTGGTAGTATTGGACCTGGGGTTGCTGTTGCTTTGGGGACTGCTGCTGAGGTGCCAGGCCCGGCTGGGGTGTCAGAGGTGTGTGTGCCCCCGCCTGGGGTGGCCGTGGTGGTGGGGGCACTGACAGCGGCGGCTGCTGCGGCTGCATGGCTCCTGCCTTCTGCTCAGTCCCCATGGCTGTGGCAGCAGAATTACGCCTTGTCACCAACGGAGAGCCCTGATGTGACTGGCCCATGTTAAAGCCTGAGAGAAAATCTATTACCTCTTGCATTTCCTGATCTGTTGGTAAGTTCATACCCTTCTCGTCCTTGCCATCGTCCCCGTGCAGGAAGGTCTCACGTCTCTCCATGAGAAAACCATTGGCCATTGGATTACTGGAATTCTGAGCTGACTGGGAAAGGTCTGTAGTCCTAGGGAAATTACCAATATTCAAAATGTTTTGTAACCTTGCGTCAATGTTACCGGGCATTTTGGCCTTCTCTTCTGAACACCCAGCTATGAAGATGCTTTTGGAAGGGGTACTTTGGATGGAATAATTGGTGCTGCTGCTAGAGCTGGTACACGAAGCTTTCTTGGTGAACCGGGAGGTCAGTTTGGAGAATGTCTTCTGCAGGCCACCCGAAGATTTGTTTCCATTTCCAGAAGGCAGGTCAGCCTGATTCCCAAAGTCACAGATCTCCCTTTGAAGCTGGATCTGTATGCAGGGTAAAGCTTGTTCCCTATTTAAATAGAAATTTTATTTATTTTAAAAAAAGGACAAACATACAAATTGGAGAATAAAATGGACATCTTTCTATTTAAGAAAGACTTTGAAAACGAGACAGACCTCTCTAGTTGGTATCAGGTTCTCTTACTTTATAGATAAATAAACGAATACCCAAGGGTTTGAGAACGTGCACTCTGTACCATCGTCCCTGGGTATGGACCTAAGTGCAAACCGCTCACACGACCCACGCAAGGGACCGGCGCAGACACCGACCTCCCTGCTCTCCAGCGGCTGAGGTCCAGCACAGCAGTGTAGAGCACATCCACCAGGCCCAGGGTCTTCTCAGGATCAAGGCTTCTCTGCAGGAGCGACATGGTAGCAGGATCTTCTTTCAGGCACCTAGGCACAAACCAGGCTGCGTTTGTTTTGGCTGCACTTCTCTGCAAAGGTGTTTCAAGCAGGCCTCACAGAGAAGGCTGCAACTTTTATGTACTTTTGGCACCCAATAAAAATTCAATAATTATAAGAACATCTAGAGAATAACAGGGCTAACGTTGGAACTCATTGTTCTGCAAGAGGAGGAGGAAGCAATAGGGCCTAGGATAGGGCAATAGGGCCTTTCTTGTGACATAAGAAATATCTATTTGGTCTCTGTGTCCAGTTCCTGTCACAGAGTTCCTAAAACCTTTGGATTTCTGGGGTGACAGGAATGTTTTGTTCCCTAATGCGATGACTTTTTTTTTTTTTTTTTTTTTTTGAGACAGAGTCTCGCTTTGTTGCCCAGGCTAGAGTGAGTGCCGTGGCGTCAGCCTAGCTCACAGCAACCTCAAACTCCTGGGCTCAAGCAATCCTTCTGCCTCAGCCTCCCGGGTAGCTGGGACTACAGGCATGCGCCACCATGCCCGGCTAATTTTATATATATATATTAGTTGGCCAATTAATTTCTTTCTATTTATAGTTAGAGACAGGGCCTCGCTCTTGCTCAGGCTGGTTTTGAACTCCTGACCTTGAGCGATCCGCCTGCCTCGGCCTCCCAAGAGCTAGGATTACAGGCGTGAGCCACCACGCCCGGCCAACCTAATGCGATGACTTTTGATGGGCTCCTGGGTAGCTTAAGGATGGGAGCTGGTCACCAGAAACACCAAGCCATCATGAGAAGCTTTGGATTTTCAGCCTCATCCTCCCCATCCTCCAGGGAGGGGAGAGGGGAGAGCCCGAGATTGAGTTAATTATCAATCACGCCTACATGATGAAGCCTCCATAAGAATCCTTAAACTACAGGGTCCTCAGAACTTCCAGACTGGTGAACAAATCAAGCTGCTGGGAGTGTGACACACCTGGAGGGGGCACATGAGCTCTGTGCCCTTTCCACATACTCTACCTTATGCACCTCTTCATCTGGCTATTCATTTGTATCTGCTGTAATGTCCTTCGTATTACAATAAACCAGTAAATGTAAGTAAATGTTACCCTGAGTTCGGGGGGCCTTTATAGCAAACTATCAAACCTGAGCAGGCGGTTACGGGGACCCCCCAATTTATAGATGGTTGGTCAGAAATCAGGTGACAACCTGAGACTTGTTATTGGCATCTAAAGTGGGAAGCAGTCTTCTAAGACTGGCCCTTAACCTGTGGGGTCTGTACTAACTCTGGGTAGTTAGTATCAGAATTAGATTGTAGGATACCCAGTGTCCACAGAAAATTGGAGAACTGCTTGGTGTGGAAAACCCACATTTGGTGTCAGAAGTATCATGTGAGTGCAGGAAAATGGTTTTGGTTTCCATCTGGAGTCTAGTAGGGAGAGAAAGACTCAGTGAAGGGGCTGCCTTCCGGGGGCCCTAGTGCCCTGTCCCTGTCCAACACCAGAACTCCGCCCTGCTGTGATTCCATGGTCTGGCACGGCATCTACTCCTTCCCTCCTTTCCTCTACAGCACTTCACACCTACACCTAAGAAACTGCGAGTCAGTAGAGGGAAAAAAACTCTCATGGTCTGTGATCTGGACTCACCAAAACTTTCAGGCAAGCAACGAACATGGGCTTCCCATAAACTGATTTTACTCCTTTCCAAGATGAAGATTTCACCTCTCATCCTCAAGGGTCTGATATCCCTGTCACATCTTCGATTCTTTCCTATCTCAACTCTCACTGAACTCAGAAAATGCACGCGAGCAGATGACAGCTATTTCATCTCCCCTCACCACTAATTCCACCAGTTCACCTGCATCTGTGTCTGCATATCCTGCTGCACTCCTGTCCTAACGCAAGACGTGCCCCGTTCCTGCCGCAGGCTGGCACCTGAGCCCTGGGCGCTATGTGCCCTCTGCCCTCCCAAGCATCTGGGATCACCCATCTCTCCCGTTATCCCTCTGGCAAACGAACCAGGCTGACAATCACCCTCTCTTAGCCCCACATCCCCCTCCAGATGCTGCCCCACTTCTCTACTCCCCACTTTAGCCAGACACGCTGTCTCCTCCTTCTCCTCCCCCCACTCTGATCAGGCTTTCATCCCCTAACGCCGCTAAAATAGCTTTTATCCACCTTAGATCTTACCAAAATCACAGGTCAGTTACCTCTGTCCACCTTACTCAACCTGTCAGCAACAGTCTGCAATGTTTCTTTCTTCCTGGAAACACCGTCTTTAGATCTGATGGCCCCACACCTGCTCAATTTCCTCCCACCTCCCTGGCACCTCCCTTTTGGTCCCCTCTGCCAAGGCCTCTTGCTCCTCTTCTCACCTAACACCTCTATATGGTGGAATACCCCAGGCCTCTGTTCTCTCTCCCTGGAGTACTGCTGCTCTACAGACCTCCCTACACTACTGAATTCCTTCGCCAGCCGAGACCTTACCCTGAGCTCCAGTCTCCATCAAGAGGCCTTTCCCGAGCCACAGAACTGTCTGAACAGCACAGGCCCACCAGGAAGATGTTTGCTACTTCCTGGGCACTCTGGGCATTAAATGGCGAAATCAACGCTTGTGAAGTCACCCTAAAGAGGCAGCAGCACTACCCAACGTGACTCTGGTTGAGAGGAAATATGTCTGAGAATGAGATGAGAGCTGGCCAGTCTCAGAAGCACAGGATAAGGTGAGCGACAAGACAAGCTCTGTCAGTGCCCAATCAGACCCTGGACACCTGGGAGGGGCTCTTGGCCGCCGAACCTAGCTCAGGCTCAGCGCCCACAGTTCTCTCAGCCTGAATCCCTGATTATAGGACACAGTTGTTCTGTGCTCACAAGCCGACTTCTGGTTGTAAGATGGCTTGTCACGTGTTTGCCCACTAGAAAAGCATTGCTGGTCATGCAGAAAGCAATAGTATACTATCTGATGACAGATTCCCTTTCTGGAAAACCAATTTATTGGCATTTTTATTTTGTTCATCAGTCTCGAGAGCTGATCAATAAAATGCCCTTGAAGAGACTACACCCATTCTGTTGACAAATCACCAAGACTAGCTTTAAACTCTCTACCTCTTCTTAAGATAAAAACCCAGTTCCCTCAAGGCCCTGCACGTTTTGACTTCTCCGACTCCCCGCGTTCTCAGCACCCACCACACCTACAGCCAGCCAGCCCCTCCCCAGGCCTGGCGCCTGCTGCTCCTTCTGCCTGGAACACTTTCCCCGCCTTCCCTCTGCACGGCAAGCTCCTCTCAGATCAGAGGGCTCCTCCTGACTGGCCTCCCCATCTCAGCCCTAATTGTTCTCTGTCACATACTGTCACTCTGTTCTTATTTCCTTCACAGGCTTGCCGGCGTCTGGACTCATCTCTTACACTCATCAGCTGCCCCGCCCCCCTCTCCATTGTGGAGACAGCCCTGCCAGGGGCAGGGACCCTTTCCTGTTGTGCTCATGATTAACTTCCCAGAGTCCAGAACAGCGTCCGGCCCACTGTGGGTATTCAGCAAATAGTTGTTGAAGGAAAGAATGGATAAATAGCTTAAATACAAAAAATATGACAGTTTAAACAAGTAAGGTATTACTGTTTGGGGAAAAAAACATATCTGGCAGCTAGACACTAAAAGCAAAGCACATAATAAATTCTTGACTTGCTTTGCTAACAATATCATTTTTCTGAAGGTGGAGTAAAGCAATCACTTCTGTTTGAGTTCTTCCCAATAAGCACATACAGTATTCTGTAATTTGTTTTTTGTGGTTTTTTTTTGAGACAGAGTCTCACTTTGTTGCCCAGGCTAAAGTGAGTGCCGGTGGCATCAGCCTAGCTCACAGCAACCTCAAACTCCTGGGCTCAAGCGATCCTATTGCCTCAGCCTCCTGAGTAGCTGGGACTACAGGCATGCACCACCATGCCCGGCTAATTTTTCCATATATATTAGTTGGCCAATTAATTTCTTTCTAATTTTAGTACAGACGGGATCTCACTCTTGCTCATGCTGGTCTTGAACTCCTGACCTCGAGCAATCCGCCCGCCTGGGCCTCCCAGAGTGCTAGGATTACAGGCGTGAGCCACCGCGCCCGGCCTGTAATGTGTTTTGTTTTGTTTTTCTTTACTTGGCAGCGTATCCCAAGTGTTTTGTAATTTGAAAGAAACAAAAAACTAAACTTTTGCAGGCCAGTCACGGTGGCTCACGCCTGTAATCCTAGCACTTGGAGAGGCTGAGGCTGGAGGATCACTTTTAGGCAGGAGTTCAAGACCAGCCTGGACAACAGCAAGGCCCTGTCCTTACAAAAAATAAAAAGAAATTGCCCGGCACAGTGGTGTGCGCCTATAGTTCCACCTTCTCAGTTGACTGAGGCAGGAGAATCACTTGAGCCCAGGACTTTGAGGTTGTAAGTGAGCTATGATCTCATCACTATACTCTAGCCCAGATGACAGAGTGAGACCCTGTCTCACAAACACCCACACCCCCACAAAAACAAAACAAAACAAGACACTAAAATTTTACATTGTTACCAAAAGCAGCCAGCAGAGGGAGCCTCTGCAAGGAATGAGTCTACAAGGTCTTTTTCTCAGAGGTGCAATGAATTACTAAGGAAATCACCACAGGGTGAGTTTTGGAAGTAAACTGAAATGTTAACCGTTTTAGTACTAGCTGTTTATATTTATTCAGCTAGCCAAAAGTTCAAACTGCTTGCTTCAAAATGAGAATCCTAAGTAAGTTTAATATTTTTCAATGAAAACTTGAATTGGAAAAACAACTTAAGAATTTAGGAACACAAAAATCTTACAGAAAAGTGAGCTTTTGTTTAACTATTTGACAGAAATGAATACTTATAAATTACCATTAATTTCGGGACACAATATACCATCCCAACAATAAATTAAAATCTTGGTTGGGGAGTACTCACAGAAGGCAGGCTTGGGAACACAAAGTGAACTGCCATTCTTACTTAATACATCAACAGGGTCTAAACACCTTCAGCAGAATCGTATTCTCATGTTTAAAGAATAAGTGGTTTAAATACAGCCTGTTACTCACCCACTATTTTAGTCCCTGTAGGTACCAAGTGTCTCTCTTTCTTACATCTCTACCTATTCTTCATGATTTAAATATTTTCTCTATAATAACTTACCTAGATTACAATTTTAATAGGAAATGTCTTCCAATGTATGTTTACTATTTCCCATTTATTTTATTTTTTAGAGACAGGCTTTCACTCTGTTGCCTGGGCTTGAGTGCAATGTCCCAATCATAGCTCAATGCACCCTCAAACTCCTGGGCTCAAGCGATCCTCCTGCCTCAGCCTCCCAAGTAGCTGGGACTACAGGTATGTGCCACTACAGCCCACTGACTTTTTGAATTTTTTTGTAGAGTGAGGTCTCGCTGTGTTCCCCAAGCTGGTTTCAAACTCCTGTTCTCAAGCGATACTCCTGTCTCAGCTTCCCAAAGTGCTGGGATTACAGGCTTGAGCCACCATGCCCAGCCATTTACTGCTTATTAATAAAGCTATGGTGCTGATCCTTATAGCTGAATCTGTAACATCATAAGGACAAAGCCTTAGAGGTGAAATTATGCAATTGCTGAGGTTATATCCCTTATTTTAGGCTTCTGATATAATAAACTATCCTCCAGAAAGGCTGTATTTATTCTCTATTCAATAACCTATTTGCCTGTTTTTACAGTCTGACCCAAACCAGTATTGTCATAGTATATAGTATTCTTATTCTAAAACAATTTAACACTATTTTGGGCTATGGTATCATATAGTTCCTTTAGTTTGCTTTTCTTTAATTATTAGGTGAAGTTACACATTTTCTTCATGTATTTGTTGATCATATGTCTTCTTTTCTGACTTACCTGTTCATGTCCCTTGCCCATTTTCTTACTGATTTATAGGAGCTTTTTAAAAAAATATAAATGAAAAATAATCCTTTCTCTAATACAAGTGTTACAAATATAAATAACTAAAAATGGCTCAGTTCATCCCAAATTCGCAGACACTGGTGCGACACATGAGCTCAAGATCATCAAGGCTGTAGTTGGAACAGAGGAGGAGAAGGAATTCTACGTTCTATACACACCTTTAAAGAAACACTGGGTAACTTAGAAAAATGATACACTATGTTTAAAAGCTGTAGACCTTAGCTTATAAAAACAAACAGGAAAAAAAAAAAGAGCTGTAGACTTAGTAATAAAGATAATGCTGCTTGTAATGATCCAAGAGTATGTAATATTTTTAGTTGCATCATGGTTAAGAAGACTGTTTTTCAGACATCTCAGCTTCCTCATCGTGGACCAATAATCATGACACATGCCAGTAACATACACTGCTGCCTATAAACCTGCACGTGTAGCATGTGGTTTGTTTTTTCAAAAAGCAATCATTTCAAAGATGTGAAAACTTCAACCAGAGCTTAAGCTTCTGTTAAAGTAAGAGTCACGTTACCATGTGGACGGGACTTGAACCACGATTCTGGAGCCTTCTAAACTGATCTGGGGGGCGTAGGCTTCTTTATTTTCAATCTGTGCTGTGTCGACTACCACCTAACAGAAAAACAACAACCAGCGTTCAGAGAAGAAAATGGATCACAAACAAACCCAATACCTAACTAAGCCTATCAATGCTGAGGACTTAAGCAAGAATGATTCCCCTGGCAGCACAGTTATGGTAAGCAGGGCCAGTCAGGGGCCCCAAAAGACAACAGCAATTAATAAAGATGACTGGATACAATAATGCTTCAGAGCTAGATCCCATCTTAAAAAATAAAACAAAACAAAACAAACAAAAAAACCCAAAAACACTTCAGTCAAGAGAAACCAAACTCTGGGTATGAGATTTACTGAACTTTGCAATGTAGCACTTTTCCAAAACTATAAATATTATTTAGGAATTACTTTGCTTCCTTTGTTTTAGTATTTTTCACTCTATGCACTTAAAAGAAGTAAAAATGTCATTAAAAGTCAAACCAATGCTTCAGAAAAACCTCTTGTAATGTATAAGCCAGTAGTAGATGAAACTTTTTTAAAGATTTTTTTATCCTCAACCATCAATGAAAACTGAACTACTTCAGGACAGAGGAAGAACCAATTCTTCTTTCATGATTTCCTCTTATTTTCAGGAAAAGTCCTTAATACTACACAGATGACATAGTATGCTAGGTAATCTAAAAAGTCTGACAAAGTGATAAATATATTTTCAAATAACTAAGAGAATTTCAAAAAAATTATAAAATACTTTAAAACTAAATCTTTAATATTTCAGAAGGGGTAAAGCCATGCAGAGTCATTTATCATGATTCCAAATTCAGACTCTGATGGAGCTGATTTCTACTCCTGTAAACAAGAGTTCCCACAGCTGGTCTGCCATGACCTTCAGAGAAATCTTCCTGTCCAAGGAATAGCCATTGTTGGACCAGACAGGTGTTTCCTCTCTCTTCCTAGCCCCCGAACCATAACCTCTAATGATTCTTTGTCAGTCACACACAAAGGTGCCCTGCAATCAACAAGTAGGGAACTAGGAAGAAGTTTTTGTTCTCAGAATAACATGGAACTTTTTTTAAACCTACAGTGTTTCCTCAAAACAGCCTAGGTGTCCATCCGCCTTATTTTGCAAACTCCTTTCTGGAGAACTCACTGGCATGGTTCTTCTAAATTCCCGCTAAATGGTGTTAGGGAATAGGGATCAATCTCCTAAAGGCAGTGGGCTTTTCATAGGTTCTAAGGATTAAGAAAAAAAAAAAGGGTTGTGGGCTCATCCACATTTTAGCAGGGCATCTGTGGTTTATCACTTCTCTTGGAAGTTCCTACACTGAGGAACAAATCCTAAAGGAAATGTAACGTACCACTGTGGGCAGGCCTTCATCCAACCCTGTCAAATCATTACTAATGTAAATGTTCCTTAAAATGAAAAAGGCCTACAATACCACTTTGCAACTAAGTTCCCTGGAAATACGTATTATCAACCTGTAAAAGAAAACAAAAAGATTTTTAAAATGCTGCTCTTCTTTTACCTTTCCTATCTGGTCTGAATTCTGTAGCACTGAAAATCTTTTAAAATTATTCAGAATTTTCACACAGGTGCCTGCACCACACCCTCGCCTGCTTGGAACGTGTCTATTCTCCACACATGCTCACTCACCAGTCCGGCCTGGCCAAACAGCAGCTGCACAGCGGTCTTGCAGGCCCCCCGCCACGTGGATGGGCACACCTGGTTCAGGACTTCAGTCACTGGAAAATCGTCCCTGGATGTGATTCCATTACAGCAGCCGGCTTCCTTCATCAGCTGTAACATCGTATGCTACAGATTGACAAGAAGAGAGCTCACACCTCAAGACAAAGCCACACGCAAGGTTCTAAAATTTGTAGAAATGCATTGACACAATAATCCTCAAGAGAAAACCTTTTGACACCCTAATCATGTCCTTTTTTTTTTTTTGAGACAAGGTCTCACTCTGTCACCTAGGCTGGAGTCACAACGCAACCTCGAACTCTGGGGTTCAAGGGATCCTCCTACCTCAGACTCTAAAGTAGCTGTGACTACAGGCATGTGCTACCACACCTGGCTAATTTTTTATTTATTATTTTATTTTTCATAGAGACATGGTCTTGCTATGTTGCCCAGGCTGGTCTTGGAACTCCTAGCCTTAAAGAGCTTGCCTCAGCCCTGCAAAGTGCAGGACTCAACAGGCGTGAGCCACTGTGCTAGACCTGAATTTATTTAGTAATTATCATGAGTCACCCTCAGAGATTTCCTCAACCCAGTGAAGTAAATGGCCAGATACAGACACACATGCAAGATAATATGCACATGTGATTTCTGTACTAGCACACAATACAGAATATTTAGCATTCTAATGGTGCCAGTCAGTTGAGAAATTTTGAAATTCCAAATCACTCCAAGTAAGGAAATAAAATCATCTGGTAAAAGTAAATACCAATCAAAACCTCAACTTTATTTTGCACAACCAAGTGGTCAGGTATGCGGGCTCTAGAAACAGACAGCAAAAGCTCAAATTCCAGCTTTACTAGTTTCTAGTTGTATGACCTTAGGCCTTAGTTCCCCTATTTGTCAAATGCCAAAAGGGGGCTATAGTTGCACACCACTGTGCCCAGCTTCTGTTTTTTGGGTTTTTTTTTTTTTTTTTTTGGTTGTCAAGGTCTACTTTACTTGGATTTTTAGTAATGTTTTTTGGGTTTTTTGAGATAGGGTCTCACTCTGTCACCTGGGCAAGAATGCAATGGCATCATCACAGCTCACTGCAACCTCAAACTCCTGGACTCAAGTAATTCTCCTGCCTCAGCCTCCTGAGTAGCTGAGAGTACAGACATGTGCCACCACACCCCACTAATTTTTCTACTTTCTGTAGAGATGGGGTCTCCATCTTGCTCAGGCTGGTCTCGAATTCCTGGCCTCAAGCAATCCTTCCGTCTCAGCCTCCCAAAATACTAGGATTATAGGCGTGAGGCACTGCACCTGGCCCTGTTTTGTTTTTTAATCAACATTCCTTATAAGCCCTTAAGTTTCCCTTAACAACTTTATTTTCAAGTTCATGCTTGGCTGCTAGAACCCCATGGAAAGCTACCGTCTTTAGTTTCAGATTGTCGGCGGCCGACTCATTAAAGGAGACACCCTTCAGGAAGTGCGATCCTATCTGCACGGGGACGGTGGGAAGCTCACACTGCATGGGCTGCGGGGGTGTCTGCCTTCGCCCCGTCTGCTGGGCTTCCGCCTCGCTGCAGCAGCCCTGGAAAAGGTTTGGATGGGAGAGGAAAGGTGACCCACGGCTCATCTGTCAAAACATTTCATTCATTAATGCTAACTGTGCAACTGGCTCCCACAGGTCCCAAGAGCTACCAGAAAGAAAAGCGTACCTGTAAACTTGCTTCAATTGCCTTTGGATTCAGGTGGAAGCCAGCTTTCATTGCATATTCACAGTGGCCTAAGCTTTCCAGAGCTATTTTATATGCCTGTAAATGAATTATTTCCAAGAATCAAGACTGTATAGCAGATTGTAACATGACAAAGTCCAATGGAACCAGCAATTTAAAATTTCTATAGTTATTAAAAGATTTGAGACCAATGACTATTTTATTATCTTTTCTAATTGGTTCAACATCACAATTTTAACTCTTTCTCTTGTTTCTATTCCTTGGATATCAGTATGTCAGTTCTGAAAAACTTACCTGCAAAGCACTATCAATTTTTATGTTCAGTTCTTTTAGCTGGTGCTCAGGAATTGCTGCACTTTGAGAACAAAAGAGCTGCTGAACTTCAATTCCTGCCAGGCGACCATCGCAGCCTCTTTCTCTTAGTCTAGATGTTGCCTGCAACAAAAACAGTGACCGGTAGGTAAAAAGAGGACGCTAGAGTTGCCATCAAAATTTAAACAGCAGCAGCAAAAAGCCCCATACCTAGAGGAGTCCCATCTGGGGAAAAAAAAACCCACACCTAAAATATAGCAAGAAACCATTTAAGCATTAGATATAAACCATAGGTCCTGGACTGTTTGTATTACAAGGTGAGCAGCCCAAAATTTTGAACACCTAAATTAACTGTCTTGAAGAGAATGCACAACCTGATATAGTACTATTTTATTTTAGGAATTCTGGAAAAAAGACTTACCTGCTTGTTATTTGTTTTCTAATAGATAAAACGTTTACACATTTTTAATTTCTCTGCTTTAAAAAGACAGATAATCTAGAATATTGGCACTTGGAGTTTCCAGAATAAAAAGGAAGAACCATACATGGTTGAGTGTTCCCCTACACCAAAGTAAAGAGCCACACTAATATAGAACACAAAAAACATACATAGGAACACTAATGAAAAACAGAGTTTTTGAAATCTGTACAGAAAAATTAAATCTTTATTGTTCAGTCAATAAATAATGTTTATGAAGAATACATAAGATAGAAAAATAAGGCAAAACTAATCTGGATCATGTTATAGTAAAATGCAAAAGACATATACATGGGTCGAGACTAGAAAAGAATACAAAAAAACATATTTCATTTATTAAATAGGTGGAGGAATTCAGGATGAACTATCTTTCAATTTCTACTTTTGTTGCAATAATATTCATGAAACAAATAATATTTTTTAACAGTTAATTTTTTTCTTCTAGGCCAGTATAAGAGCTGTAATATTTATAACATTTACAGACTACAGGAAAATAACTAGCATCTAAAATACTGTAAATTTCCAAAGCTCTGATTTCACAAATTATATATAAATCCCATTCCAACCATTCCCTGAACCCTGACAGTCTCACAATTTATAGTAGTTTGATTCTTTCTAACAATTTTTCCATCAAATATTTAGTCCACAAGGTGCTGTTAGGTACTGCCAGATACCTACTAGAACACAAAACCTGGTCCTTGCCCTCCTGGAGCTGACAGCTTCATGAAGAAAAAGGAAGGTCGACAAATAAGCCAAATTAAAAACAGAGAAAAACACGCTGAAGGAAACAAGTACTCTAACAGGGAGTGCCCTAGATGCTGAGAAAACAGCGTTTAGGCTGAGATTAAAGGAGGAGAAGGTGGTGGATGGAAGAGAGAGAGAGAGAGAGAGAGAGAGAGAGAGAGAGAGAGAGAGAGAGAGTGTGTATGTGTGTGTGAAGTGCCACGACGGGCAGACGGCCCTTGACACAGGCTGAGGACCCACAGCAGCAAAGAGTGAGGAGAAAGCAGCCACAGATAAGGCTAGTGGTCAAGGCAGAAGCCAGACTAGGCAGGACTAGGCAGGTCATGTGAAGGGTCCACACATCACCCTAAAGAAATGAGCAGCAACATCACCCGATTTTAAAATGAAGGACAGCAGGACAGGGAGGGGAGAACAGAATCTAGGCGAGAAGTAACGATCCTCTGAACGAGGGTAGTGACAAAGGACGTGGAAAGAAGTGGACAGATTTGGGATAGTATCTGAGAGGTGGGGCCTGCAGGGTTTGTTTTCTGAAGGACTGGAACAGATGTAGACATGATAGAAACACTAAAGGAAAAACCCCAGGTTTCTCAAATGAACAACCCGTGATGTAGGATGGCAGCACTTGCTAGCTAGGGCAAGACCTGGAGAGGAACAGGTGAGTGGGGAGAAGCTAGGCCTGCGCTACCTGGGAGGCCTGAGGCAGGCGGCAGCAGAATTCAGGGGCCTGGAGCTCACAGGGAGTGGGCTGGCACACATATTTGAGGACCCCACCCCCAGGACACAGGTGGTGTTTTAGGTCCCAAGACCGGATGGAGACTCCCAAGGGAGAAGGGCACTTGCAACTGAGCCCGGAGAAACTCACATTTAGAAGTTGTGTTGAGGAAGAGAAGCTAGTAGAGGAAGAAAGCACGGCCCAAGAGGAAAGCAAGCCTGGTTATTTATTATTTTATTTTATTTTAATTTTATTTTGAGACAGAGTCTCGCTTTGTTGCGTGGCATCAGCCTACCTCACAGCAACCTCACATTCCTGGGCTCAAGCAATCCTTCTGCCTCAGCCTTCCCGGTAGCTGAGACTACAGGTATGCGCCACCATGCTGGGCTAATTTTTTCTATATATATATTAGTTGGCCAATGAATTTCTTTTTTTTTTTTTTTTTTTTTGAGACAGAGTCTCACTTTTTGTTGCCCAGGCTAGAGTGAGTGCCATGGCGTCAGCCTAGCTCACAGCAACCTCAAACTCCTGGGCTCAAGCGATCCTCCTGCCTCAGCCTCCCAAGTAGCTGGGACTACAGGCATGTGCCACCATGCCCGGCTAATTTTTTGTATATAGATTTTTAGTTGGTCAATTAATTTCTTTCTATTTTTAGTAGAGACGGGGTCTCGCTCAGGATGGTTTCGAACTCCCAACCTCGAGCAATCCGCCCGCCTCGGCCTCCCAGAGTGCTAGGATTACAGGCGTGAGCCACCACGCCTGGCCAGAATTTCTTTCTATTTATAGTAGAGATGGGGTCTCGCTCTTGCTCAGGCTGGTTTCGAACTCCTGACCTCGAGTAATCTGCCTGCCTCGGCCTCCCAGAGTGCTAGGATGACAGGCGTGAGCCACCACGCCCGGCCCAAGCCTGGTTCTTGGACGCCACAAGAAGAGAGTATTTCTCTCTTCTTGTGGGGAAAACACTCTGTTGCTCTGAGCTGATGAATGGAGTCAAAAAGGTTCTCTGGATTTGACAGCGCAGAAGGCAGGCGTCAATGACACTGACAAGAGAAGGCATGTTCTTGTGTAGTAGCGGAAGCCAGATTTCAGTGAGCTGAATGATGCTATTTATACAAAGTTTCAAACTGTGTAAAATCATACCTTATATTATGTATGACACATGCATATATAGTAAAAATATTAAAATATACACAGGAGTCAGAAACTTCAAATTTGAAAGAGGCTATCTCTAGAGAGGAAGGGATGTGAATGACAGTGCAGAGGTATAAAAGGGATTCAACTTCATTTGTAATATATTCCTGTTAAAAATATGTAAAAAGCATGAAGCAAATTGTGGCAAAAAGATTTGACAAAGCTAAAAGGAAGATACACAGATGTGTGTGATAGTTTCTATATGCTTGAAATGCTTCATAATAATTATTTTCTAGAATGAATGAAAGCTGAGAAAAAGGTAGACTACTCTAAGAAGCTGGCTCTGAAAAGAGCAGAGAAACAGGGCAGGGCAGAGTGGGTTTTTCTGTTGGCAGCATCTTTGTGTACTGATGGGAACAGGCTGAGGACAAGGGAAAGAAAACACAGGGTGCCACCACAGAAGCTGGGCCTTTGAGGATGGGGCGGGATGGGGACAGGGCAACCCTGGACAGGAGAAGAGGGCACCTCCTCTGCCGTCATGAGAGGGAAGAAAAGACGGGCGTGAAGTGGGGCACGGGGCGTGCGGCGGTGTTTCAGTGATGTGAGGAAGACGGCTGATGTCAGGGGGTTCTGTTTTCTGCGCAGTGTGTTTCTGTGTTTTCTGTGCAGTGTGAGGTGGTGTCACTGGCCAGAAGCGAAGGGAGTATAAGGAGGGCAGAAAGGCCTGGACAGACTGCAGTGGGCAGAGGAAAAGGTGAAGGTGAGGAGGTCAAGGGGGCACCAGGAGGCCTCTTGCTGGTGGGTTCTCAGCATGAGTGATGCAAGCTGGCCAAGTGGAGAAGCCTGAGCCAGGCGTCAGAGTTTGTAAGCGTGAGCTGAAGCATCGGGAGACTGGGAGCCCAGCAGCCAGAGGGCTGCAAAGCCAGATGACCAGACACGAGTCTGGGGCCCATGGCCCAGCCACCAACAATGAAGCAAATAGGTTCAACTCCGATATACAACTTCCAATTAGCATTTCAGGGAGTTTAACATGAAAGAGAAACCAAAACAAATAAACAAGCAGGAAAAAAAAAACTGAACAGAAATGACAACAATGCAGCAGAACAGCATCAAATTGAAATAATAAGAAAATTAGAGACACAATATTAAAACATGATTAAAGGAGGTTACTAAATAATAAAATGAAATACTGTGCCAAATTAAATATGGAATGATTCAAAGTAGACATTATATAATGAATCAATATACTATTCATAAACTATAAACACTCTTTTATTCAGTAAAATGGAGCAGTAAGTACTAGTTAAAGTCTCAACTTTGAAGGTTTATTTTTTTACTTCTTCTTACTGGAAACAGAGGAGTATTAAAATGCCTACAATAAATGTGTTGCCATTGATTACAGGCGAAGTCTCCTTAAGAGAGGCTTTTTTAGAGCTGTTCTTGACTGGCTTATGTTTAAGTTTAAATTCTTCTGGTCATGGCAAAGGAATAGCAAGGGCCACACCAGCGACTGGAAAAGGAATCCCATGCTCGGCTGGAATTTCCCAGTGGAGAGGCTCAGGGAGTGCCTTCGGCTCACCACTGCGGCAGGTCCCTGTCACCACAAGAGGAGAATCTTCACGACTCTCCCCATGGCTGCTCCCCCAGCTCCGATCGTGACGCCGTACCATCCCACACCAATGCCACCTCTACCCGCCAGGGAGCCAACCTCTTGGTCCCGGCTCTTGCTGATGGCGGCTGGATTTTATAAACATATTGGCTGTGCTGGGAAATAGCCAATCTTCCAAAATATGAAAGACTTCACGAAGTCAAAGTAATACTGGAGAACTGCTCAAATCAAATGCAGAGCAACTGAAAAAATGAGGATCTAGACAGAGTCTGACCAGTTAAAAATCTTAAAGAATTTAAAAAGCTACAAAGATGCCAAGCATTTCTAAAGTGAATGATCTGGCTATCAAAAAACAGACAAAATTCCCAGTGTTCACTGAGTTTCACTCTGGTGTGGTTGTGGCTCTGGAGCCTGCCGTTCCTTCCATGTGCCAAGCACTGCTGCCTGCCTGCTGAGCTGCCTGGCTGCCCACCTACCCTCCCAGACAGCTCCACCCTGTCCTTCCTGACTTGGGCGCCAGCCTTTCCCCCTGGTCCTTCTTCCTGGAAGCTTTCTTGCATTCAGAGACACGCCTGTCCTCTGGCTCCTGCCCTTCTCCATCACAGCCCGTACCGTGTTTTGTAAGCCCACTCACCCAGTAGGCTGTGAGTGGAGGCTGTCATCCTAATGCCTGGCACGTGCCTGGAACACAGTGGCCATTCACAGAGATATTCACCTTTGAATGAACAACCTAATGGTAACAGTTTAAAACTTAAATTCCTATCCTAGCACTCTGGGAGGTCCAGGTGGGCGGATTGCTCGAGGTCAGGAGTTCAAAACCAGCCTGAGCAAGAGTGAGACCCCATCTCTACTAAAAAGAGAAAGAAATTGATTGGCCAACTAAAATATATATGGAAAAAATTAGCCGGGCATGGTGGTACATGCCTGTAGTCCCAGCTACTCGGGAGGCTGAGGCAGCAGGATTGCTTGAGCCCAGGAGTTAGAGGTTGCTGTGAGCTAGGCTGACGCCACGGCACTCGCTCTAGCCTGGGCAACAAAAGTGAGACTCTGTCTCAAAAAAACAAAACAAAACAAAACTTAAATTCCTAAATAAAAAGGCTCTTTTGAGAACCCACAGGCAAAGGCCCTCGGGATCCTCTTCTATTTGAACACAAGGCACTAACTTCCCCAAAGCCAGGGTTACCTCGGCAGCACCCCGCCAGGATCGCACAGCTTCCTCCAGTTCAGGTGTGTGTCCCGTGCCAGATAAGCTGCCTCCACTGCTGCTGCTCTTTTTTTCTGGCATAACCACTTCGGCAAAGCAATAGTGAGCCACTGGCTGGACCTTCTGTAATGCGTGAGTCAAGAACTGGAAATGGACCTGCACCACTGTCAAGAAGCATCGCCCCAACACCTGTGGAAACAAGAGAGCCAGGGAGTTTTAGGTTGTCTGTTGCTGCTGGATTAGCACAATACATTTTCAACTATCAACTTCAATAGAAGGCAACCACTGGCTGGGCGCGGTGGCTCATGCCTGTAATTCTAGCACTCTGGGAGGCCAAGATGGGAGGATCACTTGAGGTCAGGAGTTCGAGACTAGCCTGAGCAGGAGGGAGACCCCGTCTCTACTAAAAATAGAAAAAATTAGCCAGGAGTGGTGGCACATGCCTGTAGTCCCAGCTACTCTCAGGAGGCTGAGGCAGGAGGACTACTTGAGCCTAGGAGTTTGCGGTTGCTGCAAGCTAGGCTGACACCACAGCACTCTAGTCCAGGTGACAGAGTGAGACTCTGTCAAAAAAAGAAAAAGGAGGCAACAATTCACTAGAAATCTGAAATCATACAAAGTTAAAAGGTCACCATGCTTTAGAAGGATCTACCTTTGTTTTCATGTCTGGACCTTATTGCATAATGCCTAGAAAGTCAAAACATTTCCATCAAATAGTGAGACCCAAGGTCTTCCAAATTCCCATCCACTCTTCCCCAATCCCGTTCTCCACTCCCTCATGTGGACTCTAGCTCATACCAATTCTCGTTGTCTTTGAGCTCCCTCTGAACCAGAGCAATCTACCAGTCCAGTTATGTCCACAGAGTACTCAGAAGGCAAAGTAAAACCATGTGATTAAAAATCTGAAAGATCAGGCCGGGCGTGGTGGCTCACGCCTGTAATCCTAGCACTCTAGGAGGCCAAGGTGGGCGGATTGCTCGAGGTCAGGAGTTCAAAACCAGCATGAGCAAGAGTGAGACCCCATCTCTACTATACGTAGAAAGAAACTGGCCAACCAATAATATATATAGGGCCGGGCGCTGTGGCTCACGCCTGTAATCCTAGCTCTTGGGAGGCCGAGGCGGGCGGATTGCTCAAGGTCAGGAGTTCAAAACCAGCCTGAGCAAGAGCGAGACCCCGTCTCTACTATAAATAGAAAGAAATCAATTGGCCAACTGATATATATATAAAAAAAATTAGCCGGGCATGGTGGCACATGCCTGTAGTCCCAGCTACCAGGGAGGCTGAGGCAGAAGGATTGCTCGAGCCCAGGAGTTTGAGGTTGCTGTGAGCTAGGCTGACGCCACGGCACTCACTCTAGCCTGGGCAACAAAGCGAGACTCTGTCTCAAAAAAAAAAAAAAAAAAGCTAAAAAAAAAAAAAAAAAAATAATATATATAGAAAAAATCAGCCAGGCATGGTGGCGCATGCCGGTAGTCCCAGCTACTCGGGAGGCTGAGGCAGCAGGATTGCTTGAACCCAGGAGTTTGAGGTTGCTGTGAGCTAGGCTGATGCCACAGCACTCACTCTAGCCTGGGCAACAAAGCGAGACTCTGTCTCAAAAAAAAAAAAAAAAAAAAAAAAAGAAAATGGAATCTGAAGATACTGGTTATTTCAGTAATAGTGTTAACACAGTTATTAACATAGTTGTATGTTACATTTCCAATCTTACAAAACAAAGCTGACAGACCAGTCTTGTAGGAGTCAACAAAACATAATGAATAACTTCATTCATTGGTACAGCATAAACCCACTAACAAGATACAATTAATAGTTGATTGGTTAATAGTTCAAGTTAGAAATTCATCTTCAAAATATTATATACATAATACTATATTATCATGTAGTATCAACATGTAATGATAATAATATGTATGCTAAAAATACTATGTACCACAAACCTTTTGAGATACAGATATGCATTTATCTGGCAACCTTTTGGCTCCAGCTAAAGCTCTTCTGACAGCTTGTTTGCTGCTCCCTCTTTCGTTTCTTGCATAAACCACAGCTACAATGTGTTTTCTATGATTTCCTATTTCTTGTAAAGAACTTGTCACTTACAAAGTAACTTGATCACAAACCTTCCAGATTACTGACATTTTTTCCAAATCTCTTACAGTTGTTTTACCCACATCGAATTTGGCAATAGTATCAACAAAAAACTTTTGCAATTCTTTTATTACGTTCCATAATGTTCAAATCTTTGGAGGGAAGGTATTCTATATTTCATTGGCTTGCACAGTAGATCACTTACAAAAGAATTACTCTGTGTTTGCAATTCATCCAACTGAGTAGGAGCAGACCTGAGAGGACCCACTCGCTGCCAGCGATCAGTGCACTGTCTTCGGGAAGTGTTGAGGGCTGGGAAACTGTTTCCACTGCCATTTATAAGAAATCAAAATCCAACACAGTGCCCATGTTCCAGCCCAGTCCTGTCCCTTGGAGCAGCACAAAATAAGACTCAACCTTGGACCCCTCTCCTCCCAGCACACATGTCAGGGTTTGCCCTTTACCATACCCCTTCTAAATCTCCACTGGTCAGAGCTGTTTCCTGGAGAAACAGGGACAGGCCAGATCCCAGCATGACACTAATTCCCTCTGAATATTTTTCCGTGGTGGAAATCACTGGGACCAAACTAAAGCAAACAAGTAAGCCAACAAACAAGAAAAACCTCACACAAATCTCACATCAAAGTTTCCTCCCTCCGTAGTGAACAATCAAAATTACAGGCTGAAGCCCCAGCCCAAACCTCTTGGGTTTCCACTCACACCTCCCTCAAAGCTCCTCCGCATCGATGATCTGTGCTAGCTTGGGCAGGGTGAGGGACACAGAGGTAGCAGGACTACGAACCCAGTAGGAGATATGTGACATCAACAGGCAGCATTTATTTAGTACTGTACGTAATAACAGCCAGCCTTAATCAAGCATGTGTTTGATCTAATTTTCTCATTTCCATGGAGGAGGTTTCCTGGACTATGGCGTTCAGTACAGTTGCAGAACAGATGTGATAAGCTGGAGGACTGAAGAATGGTCAAAGATAGATATTTAAGTTTAAAATGCCAGTGAAGCTCTATCCATAGCTACCATCTATTGAGTATTTATCCCATACCAAGTACTTTACAGGCAGTGTACAAGACCCTGTGGAGTCTGAGCAATTCACCCACTTTACAGATGACAACACTGAGGCTTAGAGAGGTAAAGAAACTTGCTTAATGTCCAGCAAGTAGTAAGTGGAGATCTGATACCAGGCGTGTTTGACTCTAAGAGCTGTGTTCCCAACTAGTAATTCTAGGCTACTGTGTCTGCCTGTGACAAGATCCAGGATGCAGCCACTGCAGTGGATGGCTACTAAGGACAGAAGGAACTATGGGTTACAAACAACCACCAGGGATCTGCTGAAAGAGAAGCCTGTTTTCTGGGAAGCCCTGATGATACCAGGGAAGTGTACATCTTCACCTTCACTTTCCCTTCTATATGCAGCACATCTGCTGCTAAGATGCTGTGTTCATGGATAAAACTAGAATATCTTTTCTTCTTGATGCTTTTTATATTTTGTTCAGATTATAAAAGATTTTAATTTAAGATCATCCTATTTTGAGCATCAAAAGACCCCCATGCCTGAGTGCAGTAGCTCACGCCTATAATCCCAGCACTTTGGAAGGCTGAGGCAGGAGGATCACTGGAGTCCAGGAGTTTGAGACGAACCTGGGCTACAAAGCAACACCCCATCTCTACAAAAGTAAGAAAAATTAACCAGGCCTGCTGGCATGCCCCTGATAGATACTTGTGAGGCTGAGGTGGGAGGATCGCTTGAGCCCAGGAGTTTGAGGTTGCAGTGAGCTATGATCGTGCCACTGCACTTCAGCCTGGGTGACAGAGTGAGATCCCATCTCTTAAAAAAAAGAAAAAAAAAAGAAAGAAAGAAAGAAAAAAGACCACCCTTTCTACACCAGCATAGTTGCTACAGATTAACCTACATGCAAACTCTACCTTCCCAGAATATTGCAAAATTTAGTTTTAGTTATTCCTCTTCTGATTCAGCCCTGAATACCTGCGTGTGATTGAAATGATGGCGTGCCCACATCCACACCCCATTTCCTGAAACACCTTGTGATTTTTTTTTAAATTTTTTAAATTTTTTTCTTTTTGAGATAAGGTCTCCCATGTTGTCCAGGATGCTCTCAAACTCCTGGGCTCAAGCGATCCTCCTGCCTCAGCCTCCTGAGGACCTGAGACTCCAGGTGTAAACCACTGTGCCTGGCTTTCTTTTTAAATTTTTCACCTTATGATTTTCGCATCAAGGCAAATAATTTCTCACTAAATTCACTGTTCTGCTCAACTACACTCAACAGTTCATCTTTTTCATATCCCTGCAGAGTGAATAACAGGTAAAACTGACATGCATACATTTATTTCTGATGAGTTTAAAAGTCTAGAGTGAGTGACACACTTGAAGCTCTGACTGGGTGGGTCAAAGGCAATATGTAACCTAAACATTTGTATACCTGTAATATGCTGAAATAAAAAAATCTAAAAATAAAAAAGTCGAGAGTGAGTGAAATGATGTCAATACATATAGTCTGCTTATGTTAGAAATTCCAAAACCATTCAATCAGTTTTCTCTTCAATACTTACTTACACCTTAAATACTACACTTGGTTCCAAGTGTCCATAACCTTGTTCTTAATGAGGCGTCTTTTGTTCTTATGGTAATTCCAAAGTCATTACATAACAACCTAACCAACAGACCAGAATGTGATACAAAGACCTAAATGTGTCCCCCGAGAAATAGAGAATGCAGTAAGACAGACCTTCCCTGGACTCTGGAAAGTACTTATGAAGAGTATACTACAGCATAAAAATGTAAAAAACAGGCTCACTGAAATGAACAAGTAAAAAACTAACAAAATAACAACCAAACCTTTTTGCAATCAGCATTAACCTAGAACACAGGCAAGCTGTCACGCTACGTATAATAGAAAGAACAAGAGAAGGAAAGAAAACTAGCACACGCTCAAGGGGGCAGAGCCAACACCAAATGCTAATATTTCAGGTAAGATTATATTCTCAGCTCGTAATTCACGAAGGAAGCACTGTGGCACCCAAAACCTTTTATTTATTTATTTATTTTTTATTCTAAGAGAAAACA